TTCTGTGCAATTAATTGAACTTTGTGAGTCGTATTATATTCAGTGATGTCATCTTTTGCCCCGTCAAAGAAAAAATAATAGGATGCTCAGAAAGAGAAAAGGGGGAAGGGATGCTGCTTCTCGGTAGCTTGAAGAGATAGGTTGCAAAAAGAATTGCAGAGTGCAGAAATACTCCTACACACTGTGTTGTTTTAGCTCAGATCACAGGAACAGAGAGATGATTTCTGATGGTCCAGTAAAACAAAAGCCACAAATGATCAGAGTTTAGTCCTCTGCCAGTTTTCCTGCAAGCATTGGTTAGGGTTTCCCCAGGTGACCCATGGAGTTTCACTTCTCTAATAGGATTTGACCTTCCATCTCTTACCTGCCAGCCATCTCCCCTTTCTGCGGGCAGGGGGGAGGGGGTTGACTTTGTCAGTGTTACATAACAGTTACCTGGAACATCGCACATGTTCCCAAACTAGGGATGCCTCTGGACCGCAGGCAAGAGATGCATTTCTAATATTGCAGATCAAGTGCAAATGGCTAGGGAAAAACTTTCACAAGGCACCACTTTCCAGTGTTTAAATGTTTCCTTTGTGCATTTCACAGTAATTCCTTTCCCACTCATTTAAGAAAGACAAGTCATATGTTTGACCCTCCCTCAAGTAATGTATAAGTAATGAAACGAGTGGTATATATAGATCAAATATAGTGCCTTCCTGCTTTTATTTCTCCCATCTTCTCAAATCCTGCATGACATCACTAACCACAGAACATATTAGGGAGCGGGGCTTTGTGTCCTCTGAGCTCTGGTGCTTTGCATTTGTTCTGAAATGAATGAGATCTTTTTTTGTTCACTCTAGTGGATACTACTAGGTTTGTCATTTACCTGGGGTATAAAATAATTAATTAGCTGTTTGACAGGTGTATAGTGGGCTGCTTTGATGCTGTTGGTCTGCCTGTTTCTTTCTCACACACAGGAGCTGTGTGGGCAACGGAGGTCTGCCTGTTAGTGTCAGCCTCCATCCCACTGGTTCAGAGTTGTAATTACCAGGACTTTGAAGGAGGAAAAGCAAGCAGAGACATCTCTTGTGCTGCAGGTCTGTCCTTGGTTCTCATCCTCTTCTCCCTTTCACTGCAGGAGCTGGAGTGGCCGTGGGGGGCAGTGCGCTGGTAGCCAGCCATGATTGCCACTGGAGGCCTCCTGAGGATCTCAGCCAGGAAACAGGACCCCCTGAAGCCCCAGAGCCAACTCCCCAAACGCAAACGCAAGGCCAAAAAGAAGCGCAAGAATGACGTGGTGGTGGTGAAAGGCAAGCTCAAGCTGTGCTCCTTCTCGGGGTTCGTTGCCCTCTGTGGCATCCTGGTACTGCTGGTGGGCATTGCCTTGGCTGTGGTGGGCTACTGGCCAAAGCCCAGCCAGGTGTACAGAGAAAGCAGCTTTGGCAAGGGCCGGCACCCAGCACCACAGAGTGGCACCCTCATGAACCGCTCCCAGAGCCAGGAAAGGGTGCAAGCAGAGATCCACCTGGAGTCACCCCCTGGAGCCAACACCTCCACTGCTGCTACCACCAGTGGGTCCACCCCTACTTCGTCATCCCCCCAGGCCTCAGTGGGTTTCCTTTTCCGTCTTTTCTCGAGCTACTTGCATTCGGACAAGCTGAAGGTGCTGGGCCCTCTGATCATGGGTATCGGCATCTTCCTCTTCATCTGCGCCAATGCAGTGTTGCACGAAAACCGTGACAAGAAGACCAAGATCATCAACCTGCGTGACCTCTACTCCACCGTCATTGATGCCCACAGCCTGCGGGCCAAGGATGGAGGCACCCCGGCCTCAGCCCCTCTCAATGGCTTTGTCAACTACATGCAGTCCCGGGGCCTGGAGCTAAAGCCTGGTGGGGAAGGCCTGGGCGCTGCTGCCATGCTGGCCAAGAGCTCCTGGCCACCAGGACTGGGTGTCTCCCTTTCCCCACCGGATCTGGTGTCCTCACCGCAGCGTTCCTCCTTCTGCGGCCCACCACAGCCACCCAGCCTGGCTGAGGCTGTGTACAGCATCTGCCAGGAGCGTGCTGCCCTTGCTGGCCACCCTGTCACCAGCCCGCCCTGCAGCCCACCCGGGAGCTGTGGGCGGTGCAGCACAGCCAGCTCCATCGTCGGCTCTTCACTGAGCACCTTCACCCTCCTGCCCTTGGGGCCAAGCAGTGGAGGGGGAGGCTGGCAGAGACCACCTGGTGAGCGGGGAGCCCAGGAGATCCCACGGGGGGAGTTTGAACTGAGCCTAGCCGACCTCAGCAGCAGCCACATCAAGGGAGGCTGTGGGACAAGGAGGCACAAGCTGGTTCTCAGGAGGCAGAGCACCAGCTGCTTGCCCGATGCCAGGCGTCCCCTTTCCCCTGAGCCACCTCGGTCACCAGCTGTCAGGAGGGTCCTGGAATCCAGCCTCTTGGTAAAGGCATCTCCTAGCTACTCCAAATCTGCAGACCTGGGGGAATCGCCGCCTTCAGCTCCTCCTGCCATCACCAGGACAGACTCCCAGAGCTCCCAGTCTGAGCCTTCCAGCAGCAATAAGGGCTACAGCCACTTGGAGGAGGCAGGCACCTCCTTGGAGTCAGTTGCCAACACCACAGCCAGTAAAATTCAGGACTGTGAGGAGGAACAGATAGACCCCCTCAAGGCTACCAGCAGAGAACAAACAGGGGAACAATCCCAGCAAACTCAAAAACAGTACACAAATAAAGAGAAACTCTTTATGATTTCTAAGTCACATGCTGCATTAGGGTTGGAGGATGGGGAACCGGAGAGTACGGGCACCTAAATAAAACAGATGGCAAGAGGACACCTTGCATCCCTCCACATCTTCCCCGCTTCTTCATCTCCTTGTGGACTAGGAAACCAATCAATATCCAAAGAGCTGCACTATGTTACCCTTGAAAATTGAATTCCATAGATCCTGTAGATGACTTCAGGAAGAAAAAAGAAAATCCTTTCTGTCTATTCGTGATTGTATGTTTCATGCAAGCCAAATTGTATTAAATATCCACAGTCCAGCAAGTTCTTTGGATCAGATTAATACAATTTTGGATGGTATAGCTGTGCACTTTACTGTTTTGATTTTTAAGTGCCCCTTCTTCTCCTCTGATTTCTTTCTTGCTGATTTGCCACTAACTGCTTGAAAGCTGCAGGCACCTTTGTAAGCTCGAAAGCAATGTGGTCTTCAGAAAGAAAGCTGAGCTCTCTCTTTGTTTTGGTTCAATTACTGAAATGTTTGCAAGGCCTTAAGGATGACGTACCTTGACAAAGAATGAGTTTATTTAAATTCTGGGAAAAAATAATGGTTTAGAAGAGACTGGAGCAGAACAGAGCTCTGACGATTTAGTTGAAACCATAACATTCCTGAATCCAAAATACATATTACTACATGATACTTTCTCGAAGTATTATTACACATGTATTGACTAATAGCATTAAAAGATGTTTTTTAATAAAATATTTACAAACAAAACCTACCAAAAATTTCTTTATTTTGGTAAGTAATTACAGATATCACAAACTATTTCATTTTATACTGTGAAAGATTATAGAAATGCTACGAAGCCAAAGGCTTGCTTTATACTTTTAAGGAGGTAATTGATAATTTATGTGTAATTTTCAAATAAATACTGTTTCAGTTATTGAGAAACCACACTGTAATTCAACCAGCCGATTCTGTCTCTATTTCTGACAGTACTCTGTGACAGACAGCCTAAGAAATGTGATATTTTGACATGCTAAGGAAAAAAAAAATTTAAACATTTGATCTTCTATTCAGATTAGGGTTTTGTGTGATTAATCTTGAACTGCATCATCTTCTTTCTGGATTTTGCAGTTCCCTTATAACTGTTGCATTAAGCCTTTCTGCTGTTGAGGTTCCTATTCATGAATGCATGTGCATAAGCTTAATTTTAAAGCATAATGATAGCCCTATCAATCTCGTAGCAGTTGGCTGTGCTGAAGTCAGCAGCACTTTGTCACTGAGTTCAGCATGATGAGGATTTCTTCCTGCATGAGAAAAGCATCAGCTTTCCTGGAGCCTGGAGAATACCTTGTCTGTAGGCAGAGTTTTGGTAAATTGATGAGCTGTTTCATTTTTGTAGCTGCAGCATGGCAGCCACGAGTGTTTTGTCAAAACAGCTTTATGCACTCAGTAGATCTTGTCAATACTTCTGATTTTAAATATGGATGTGGCATTTCTCTACTATGGGAAGAAAAATCAACATTAAACAAACACAATGTGTAGGCAGACAGAAATCTTTGTTGCAATTAAAATTTTTCTTGTGGTTCCATGTTCTACAGTGCTTAGCTACATATTTACTTACATTACAGTACATTGCAACATGGACTATAGCTATCACTAAATGCAATTGCATTTAACAAGCCTGCAAAATTCTGTAATAAATAAGATTAATTTAGAAGAAAAGAAAGAATAATTTGCCATATAAGATTCTTGAAACTGGAGAAGCAGAAGGTGCTTGTGCTTGTTCTCTTGAGCAAGAGAGACATCCAGGTGTCAGTATCTTTCCTCCTGACAGTGGTAACCAGTGCACTGACAGTATGAATATCAGTGTGGTGTTTTTTGCTGTTGAACTGCTAACACACAGCTGGCAAAAGTCCATATTAAAACTGCCTGGATTGGCATGGGGTTGGATTAGGCACCACAGGAAGTGGTGAGCAGGTGGCTCAGCTGGTGTTGGCATATGCTGGATCTTTCCTTTCAGTTCTCCCTGGGCATGTGCTTCTGCTCCTTCTCCTGTGACTTCCAGCAAGATTTATGAGATACATGTGAGCAGAGTTACCTGGTACTGATGCAGATTCTAGTTATTGACAGAGATGAAGACATCCTGTTCGTTATTTTTCACACTAAAACCTTCCATGGAGGTGAAGGGAAAAGGCAAGTTGTGTACTACTTACTGAAGCATGGAATCCTCATGAAGATGTAACAGGAGTTTGTTTTATTACAAGAGGGGGAAACATGCTTTTTAAAATATTCTTAGTAACTATTTCTTCTGTCATCTGAGGTGTGCTCTGAAAAAAAAAAAAACACCAAAAAAACAACAAAACAAACCACAACAACAAAAAAATCAGCTTTAAAAAGCCTTTGGTTACTCCTTAGATTGATTTAAATCAAAGCAGGCCAGTAATTATTCTGATGATTAATTTACTGCAAAGTCTTTTGAATGACAAAATTATACCAGTTTGTGTTTAATAAGTAAAATTATAGCTTGTTCCTCTGTTGTCAAAAAAGATGTGAAACATGAACTTTCATCAGTTGAGCTGGATTTTTTAATAACAGCAGCAAGAAGTGATTTTCTAGCATATAAATTACTAAGCAGAAAAAGCTGCCTCTCTGTCTTTGCAACTCATTATTTTTGCAGATTTATTACTTAAAACTATTGAGCAATTTCTGCAGGGATGGAGTTGGAGTCAGAAAGCTTTGTTTAAAATTCAAGCTGGGCAAGTTAGTCCAATACCCCAGTGCTGGACAACGACTGAGAGATTCAACCCCGTGCATGTGACTGATGTTAGCACGAGCAGCTGGTAAAGGGCTGAGCCTTTCCTGGTGTGAGCCACAGGTGATGGGGATGATGGGGTTTGTGCTTTGAGTGACTCTTGAGTACCTCTGAGCTGGCCCCGACTGCTTCTCAGGACTGCCAGCTGCCTCTTGGCCATCGTTTGCACATCCTGTCACAGGATGTTTGTGTATTTTCCTCCAATCCAGTCTCCTTCTAGCCTTCCTCTCTGGTGTCCTGCCACCTAGTGCTTCCTCCACAGTCCTTGACAAGCACCAGGAACTGCCTCTACTTGCCAATACACAGCTTCCTGCATGTTGCAGGAAGAGATAGTCTGTCTCACATGTTTATTAAGAAGTATTTAATTAATTAAAACTAACTAATTTGGAAAAATTGTTAATGTTTATTGAGAAAGCACGATTAGTCCCTGTATTTGAGAAGGGATATCCCTGAAGATATGTTCAGATGGCATACTTAGCCATACATTTTTGCTATGGAAAATTCAGATTTTGGTTTAGAAAGGTGTTCTTTGGTTTGATTTGGGTTTTTCAGAAGAGAAGTGCTATGATATTTATATAAAATTTCCAAAAGAAAGTTAATTTTTGCCTCAACCCTCAGAATACCCCCATACCTAGAAGGAAGGTTGTGTATGCTCATTAAAAGTGTAGATGCTGTTTGGACCAGTCTGAGGACAGAGAAATGCCCTAATTGTACTTCAGTCATGCTGCTGTTTGTTACAAAATCCTCAGGACTCTGGAGAAGCTGCAGACGTGATCATACTGTAACCCAGTTCAGGCTCAGTTTTCACTGGCTAACAAAGTATTTAGAATCCTTGCATTAACCTGGCTTGCTTGGCTGGGCTGATTTACTGAAGTCCCCAACTACTGACATATCAGCTGATCTGCAAAAAACTACATCCCAGATTTATTAACCTGTATTGTTTAGATACATTTTTAAGAACCTTTTCAAGGACTGATGCTGTCCAACAGTGAGCAATAGTGCACTTAGAAACATTGCATTAGGTAGCTGTTGACATAGTTTTGGGTCTGCAGTCTGAAATACACATCTTATGGATTGTTGCAATTTTCATAACAGCCAAAACAGTTTACACAGAAGTAGCAATATGACTTCAATTAAACAACAGGGTTTTTTACAAGTAAAGGAGATGACAGAATGATAAATCTTATTGGATTCAGTTGGAAGAACAACCTTTGGTAATGCTTAACAGATTTTCTTTGTATAAAAAAAACCTCCACAAAATACAATGCTTACTCCTAGCTGACTATTAAAATCTTAGTAGTGAATAAAAACATTGGTTTGGGGCGACACTTTTTAATTCTAGGGAACAAAATACTTCTTTATCACCACTCCAAGACTGCCAGTAGAAGCAATGTAATGCTTTAGCCAGGTCACTCACTTACTGCTCTTAAGTTTGGGTTTGCAAACAGCAAACAAGATGTACAGCATGAGCAGGCACAGTCTAAGAGGATAAACAGGTTATTACAGCAACAGGAAAAAAGTATTTCATGGAAGAATACACCACTCTTGTTTCATTTTAGAAGCCAGAATCTCTATTTAATATTTCCAGAAGCTCCAAAACAGAAAAGTCTAAGTGGGCACACTAGAAATTATTTTCTACCATGGAGATTTCACTCTAAACGTAGAGTTAGAGGGAAACCCTGGAGATCTGACAGAAGCACACACAATCAGGTAAAATGGCATTGAAGTTTGGAGGAGGAACTATACTGCTATAAAGGATCTGACTAGATTTCAGGATAATTCAGGAAATAGAGAAAACACATGGCATGTGATTTTCAACTAGTGAGTCTTTTATCTACATTTAGTTAGATAGAGGTAGTGAAGCCAAAATACTACTTTTAAAGGGGTTCTTATCCATTGTTATTCTTTTTAAATTACATTTCAATAAGATAGGAATCTTATTGGGGGAGAGTATGAAAAGAGATGCAAACTAAACAAATGTTAATAACTCAGTCAGTGAGGCTTCCTTTACCTTCCTCTGCACTAAGAAGTTTCAGTCTATGATTTCTGAGAATTATTTTTTTTTTTTTTTTTCCTTTCTTGTCTCCCACCATTTCTCCAGACCGAGATTACAAAAAACACTTGTGTTCACTTTATTTATCAGTTTTGCTGAAACACAGTTCTATTATTTTTATGTATATGGAGTTACCTGAGTATATGACAAGTTTGGTTCTACTGAGGACACATAGCTGATACTCTCAGACTGGAAGGTAATAATGGGTAGAGATGGTTTGATTTTAAATAAGCAGCCTGTTCCATGCTAAACTTCCTAGCTGAAGTAAAGAATGGCAAGTAAAAAGGGAACATTCAGCAATCAAGTTTTACCATCACATCAGATGATTTAATACCATCATACTGCCTCAGACAGCATTTTGTTCATCCCTCATAAGATTTGGCATGATCCTGCCTGACCTGCTTGAGAGCAGGCTGAGATTATACCATGCAGCTCCCATTTTGTTGCCAACAGCTAAATCAGCCTCTAAAGGAGCAGGAATTCAGAACATGACTGTCAGTTCTGGCAAGACTTGGAGCTGCTAAAAATTTTGCAGGAAGGTGGTTTGGTATAGTGTACAGTGTAGCTCCCTTCACACCTTGGAGCAGCACAGAAACCTGTGGCAGCATTTCACACAAAACTGCCTGCAAAGGCATGTAAAAGTCATCAGAGTCAGCTCCACGAGGATAAACCCCTAATGGGATAATATGATACTTCTGCAACACCTTAGACTAGCCTTCCTCTCTCATTCCTGGAGTATACTTTAGGTCTCTCTGAAGAGTACAGCAGGTTTTTAATTCACTGACTTTACAGTCAAAATTCATTTTAAAGAAAAGAACTTTAGTCTCAGAGCCTAATAGAAACTACTATTTAAAATGCTTATAGAGTCCCCATTAAATTAGTATCAGATGACCTTTTCATGTACTTCTCTCTCTCATGTCTTGGGTACAGAGCACGACTATCTTCCTCTGCAAAAACAAGACAGTTACAGCCTCAGACAAAGTGTGCAAACACCAGATTTTTATTTTATTTAAATGGAGAAGAATATAGTTACCAGTATGCAATGATGACAGCATGCAAGTGTCTTCCTCTGAGTGATGTTTCCAAACCATGCAAGTAGCCTGCTGTGGAACAGAGCCTTGAACACTTGTCCTCCAACCGGAGATCCATCTTTCAGCTTAACAGAGCCTCTTTCTTTATGTGAGGCATTGAGGTGCTAATTTAGTTCACTGTCTTTCAGACTCATCACACCCCATATTACACAAACTTAGCAAGACCTCCCTGCAGTATATTTAAGGACACAAGTGACACCAGACAGCCAATAACATTCTATTTCAAATGAGAAACTTAAAATGAGAACAGTAAGTCTGGCACTACTTATTACCTTATTGTGGTAACACAGCATAAGATGATGATAGTAGCAGCTCCTTGGGTTTTGGAAACCAAATTTTCTGCTGGCACTGCTAACATAATTCACACTACAGGCTACCTCAAGGCTTGAAAATGCAAGCAGAACAGTTCCTGTCCTTGTGTCTGTCTTTGCAATGTGTACAGCGTCTGGAGTAGCAGCACTGAAACAAGGATAGCACTGAGGCTGCATCTCTCATCATTTCTTACTACAAGCAAGCTTTGGAAGGAAGTTGTTTCTTTGAGACCATTAAGCCAGAGTTGGTGCAGTCACGTTAATGAAGCACTTGCACTCTTTAGAATGCTGCTTGGGTCCAATATACAAAGAAAGGTGAGGATGTCTTCCTAACAATGTTCTCTGCAGGGATATACTGTCTCCCCTCTGGCACAGGGAGAGGAAAGCCTGAACAGAAGCTGTAGCATGGTTCTGGGATCAGTGAGCTTCTAATGCTGCAGCAGTGTTGTGTCTCAGTAGCCATTTGGCCGGTACATGTGTGTCACTGACAATCTGGGAAGGGAGAAAAAGGCTACATGATGAGCTATGGAAGGTCAGCAGCTTTAAGCCATAGCCTGATTGTACATCAGCTGCCAGCACAGCGCCTAATGAGCCCCAGGAGTTTACTAAAGTGGAAAAGAAGCCAACAAAAGTGCAGGTTGCATCACCTCTGATGCCACCAAGAAGGCACCATTGAAGATGGCAAGCAAAGAAACAAGTGACTGAGTTTCTATTGTACTTGACCTTGCAGTTTTGGGTTGTCAAATGTGAGCAAAAAGAGCAACCACAAAATGTTGCCGTTCTACCAGGACCGGTGAGTAGTTCTTGGCTGCTTCCACCTATGGCTGCCTCTGTTTTTACTCATGACACCCTCCATAAGAGCTCACTGCATTTCACTGGCAAATTAAAATGCAGTCCTCTACTAAAACATTTTAGGTTGCCTAATGAGTCACCAAAAGGTTGAATTCTCATATAGGCAACAGATATCTCAACAGCAATGTTTTCTGGCAAAGAGATTATGTATATATCTGTCATAGTTCAACACCTGCCAGCAACTAAGTACCTCACAAAATGTTCTGCA